AAACAAAAAGAAAGAAGGAGAGAGAGAGAGAGAGAGAGAGAGAGAGAGAGAGAGAGAGAGAGAGAGAGAGAGAGAGAGAGAGAGAGAGAGAGAATCACCATCCTCCACCTATACGCCATGAAAGTTGCAATAATGAGAGAGAGAGAGAGAATCGCCGTCCTCCACCTATACGCCATGAAAGTTGCAATAATGAGAGAGAGAGAGAATCACTATCGCCCCCCCCTGAGAGCCCAAGATTGGACGCGATGAGCGAGCCAGTGGCACAGAGAGAGAGAGAGAGAGAGAGAGAGAGAGAGTTGGTGAATTTCGCTAGAATTCTCCGCTGCTGGTCCACGTCATCTGGCAAGGAAAGTCTTGTTTTGTGCCACTTGCATGAGATCTCTGCCTGAATCAAAGTCCTTGTGCCCCCACATGTCGGAGAAAGGCCCTACCCGCTCTAAAAGAAGGTGGGTCTGCAAATGTTTCCCTTGGCCTTACTTCAGTCCGCACGCCATGATCTAGGATTATATGACCGTGGCGACAGGAAACTGTGTTACACGGCCCCGTGGGGTGGTTGCTGCATGAAAGATCTCCAACCACACTGTAGGGCCCAACCTTCGGCTGGGCGATAATGCTGAGGCCTTTGGCCTTACAGTTGAGCCCCATGCAGATTCTGAAAGGGGCCCAGGGCGCTGCTGCTGGGACACAGGCGCAGGCATTCCAGCCAGTCCATGAGCCAGCCAGTGCAAAAGGAAGTGAGGCCTGCTCATTGTACACATTTTGGCTGGTTGGATGCTGCAGTGCTGCTGGAGTGATAACTCGTGCGGATGGGCACCAGTCCAGAGGTGGATGAGAGTGCTGGCAGGGGCGAGGAAACTGCTGCCCGCAGCATCCATATCCGGACTGCTGGCGACCATAGCCGGAGGACGAAGGGGGAGGTCCTTGGGCAGAGGGGACTGTGGAGGAAGTCAGGGAGAGGGGGCAATGTGACGAGGCACTCACCTGGTGAAAGGGACCTGGGACGTTTACACGGAGTCTTCATGTTTTCATCGGGCTGATGATCTTCACAGTGTACCTGTTGTAGACAGGTGTCCAGGTCATAGTAGATGTCTGTCTGTAGTCTGGGCGTCGAGTGCCAATGTAGAAGAGCTACATTGTTGACATTGGTGATGGGAGGCGAGAAGAGGGCTTTCATATCATGCGACTTCAATGCTTCACTCATTCGTATTTGATGTTTTCTCAGGTTGCAATCTGTTTTTAGTTCGGGCGCAAAGTAATCTGGATTTCTATGGAATCCTGCAATCTGGTTTATTGTCATTTGCATTGCTCATTTCCTTGCACTTCTATTTCTTCATCGAGTTGTAAACTGTTTTCGTGAATGCAACTCTATCTTTCTCTTTCATCTCACAAGTATGATTTGTAAAACTCACGCCGGGTCATGGTCTTTCCTACCCCTTTGTTCTGTTTACTGTGAACTTTACCTGGGGCCTGGACCCATTAGCGAAGTATTCTACCACTCCGTTCAGGATTTCGATCGCGTGTGGCCTCGAGTGATGCAGTACGCGCCGTCGAATACATCGGATCTCGACGGCCTGGTAGTTTCGGGATTGTGAAGATGCCCACCTCCGTCCAATGAGATGCGTCGAAAAACAAAGAAAAAGTCTGAAAAACAAATTTGGACATGATAGCTCGTGGCTTTGCGTGGGCGGGAAGTCTGGATTTTATGGACTCGAAAGGGGGGGGGTTGATTTCCAGACTTCGTTTTTTTTTTTTTTGATTCTGAGAAATCGAACTTGAAATGTGGAATTCAAATATTGTGGTGGATCTGACAGGAACGCCTCCGCGTCTGTCGGATGGCCTGTTAGAGGCCTGATGAATGTATCCCCATACCCGTTACTTGTTCATCCTTGTGGCTGTGTTCGTGGACACATTTCATTGCCACCGTACATCACTATGAAAACGTACGTGAAGGAGATCGTACCAACCCATGAATTCGGGTGCACAGCTGTTCTTCTTTGTTTTATGTTCCATTTCAATTCATTTTAAATTAGAAAACGATCCATTCATGAAAATAAAAAATCACTTTGTCTTTTCCAAAAAGCCATAAAATTGCGTCATGCATCGTAGAATACTTCTCTAGTGGGTCCAGGCCCTTAACAGTAGACTTTTTCTTTTATGCGAACTTTGTGTGTGCAGGTTGGGGATCCCAAGCAGCTCCCAGCGACTGTGTTGTCAAAAGCAGCAGCATCACTTAACTTCGAGAGAAGTCTGTTTGAGCGACTTCAGAAGAGCAACTACCCGGTCACAATGCTTTCGATTCAGGTCTCAGACATGTCTCACATACAATTCCTTTCATGGCTTGCATAGGAAGAGGCACAGAATCGTCAAATGAGCTGGCACTCCATTGCAATCTTAGCGCCTTGCTATATTTTTGGTTCTCTTCCCCCCCTGCCCCCCTCCTTTTTGTTTTCCGGTCCTCGCTGTTGATATTGCAGAAGCATTTCCCGAATAGAACTGCACACCTGAAGCATCAAGAATACAGATACAGACGAAGCTCTGTGTGTGTGTCTGTGTGTGTGTGTGTGTGTGTGTGTGTGTGTGTGTGTGTGTGTGTGTGTGTGTGTGAGAGAGAGAGAGCGAGAGAGAGAGACGAGGAGAAGAAGAGAGCAGGAGAGAGGTGGGGGAGGATCTCTCTCTCTCTCTCTCTCTCTCTCGCGCGCGCGCGCGCACGCGATCTTGCTCTGTGTTGCTGTTTGAACGCCATGACCGTGCACTTGCGTTTATACACACGCGTACAATTTCTTCGCACACGGGTTCAATCACGTTTGAATGCGCCACGTGGCGTTGCGCGGGAAAAAAATGAACGCACACGCACCCTGCGGACTACGAGGGGGCGTGTGGAGCTCGGCACTTTTGGGAGGGGCGGGGACTGGTGGGTGTTGGGGGGGGGTTGAAAATCTTCGGAAGCCCCTCCCCATTTTGTCACTTTTTTTTTGGGGGGGGGGGGGGGGTGTGTTTGTTGGTTGTATTTGGAATCAATCAATTAATCAACCAAAGTTGATTGACCGATTGATTGATTGGGAGGGGGTCCCCCCCCCCCGGCGTACACGCACGCACGCACACACACACACACACACACACGCACACACACACATCTTTTATACACCTCTAGATGTGTATAAGAGACAGGATTGACTGATTGTTTGATTGATTGATTGATTGGTTTATCGAACTTTATTCAAGTTAATTCAACTTGATTGATTGATTGATTGAGCGAGCGATAGNACACACACGCACACACACACACACACACACACACACACACACACACACACACACACACACATGGCTGCAATAAGACTAGCTCTCTTCTTACTTCACATGCATGTAAACAGATGGCAATCCCTCTGGCGCCAGGCGCCCACACAAAGCTCAGAGATATTACAGGCGAGAACACAGTTCAGATACAACTCACTTCAAGTAACTATGGCGCCTGTGCGCCCTTACATCACCCTTCGCAACACTGTATCCTCTCAACTTGTCCACACACAGACTTCACTGGACCTCCCTGGATATCCCACGCGCATACGCTCTCACTGCACACTCATATACACACACACTGAAGACTACTCTAACCTGGCGCAGCTATGGCTGCTCGCTAACCCTATCACTACTAGTAGCTATGGCTGCTCTGTCTCTCTCGCAGCCCACTTCAGCTTTGGGCATCTGCAGACCACCTCGCACAAGAGGCACTGGCAGCGCTTCCGCTTGGTCGGCAACAGAATGAATGAATTGCTGGACGCTGCCTCTTGATTTATACTTCTGTTGGTCGCTGGTCTGCCCCTTTCCACCGGGCCCTTGGTGGCCCCAGTCCCACATGGTACTTGCTTGACTGGACTAAGTGTGACTGGGACCAGTACCGCTGACTGAACGGGGTTGCACTTCCGACTCGACGCAGTTGGACTTGCGACTCGCCTACAGACCTCTAGCCTAGCAGTTCCGTCCTCTACCCAGCCGCAACCCCCACTTGACCGATCTACAGATCGAACCCCTACAGCTACAGGGACCTACCACAAACAACAGTCACTACTAAAACACAGGCGGGGGCTCTAAACACACAGGGGTCTATTCGATACTGTACACGGGTGCAGGTAAGGTCTAAGGGTCGAACCCTGGGATCTGCATCTGCTTCTGCAAAGGTGAAAACCGTTTCATGGCCCTTAGTCGGGCAGAATCATGCTTCTTTTTCTCTTTTTTCTTGTGGAGTTGTGTGTAGCGAATACGACAACACACACACACACACACACACACTAACACATGTGCACGTGAGAGAGAGAGAGAGAGAGAGAGAGAGAGAGAGAGAGAGAGAGAGAGAGAGAGAGAGAGTGGGAGCAGGGGGAGAGGGTGAGCGGGAGCGGGGGAGGCAGCGGGAAGCAGCGGGCAGCATGTGTGTGTGTGTGTGTGATCGGAAGTTTTTTTCTTCATTTTTTTTCTTTTTTTTTCGGTTTTTTTTGGTTTGTTTTTCGTTTTTTCCCCCCCTTCGCCCCTGCTCTTCATTTTCTTTCCCTTTTTTTATTTTTTCGGGCCCAGGGGGTGCCAGCGCCCCTAACAGACCCCCCAGGACCTGTCTCTTATACACATCTAGATGTGTATAAGAGACAGGTCCAACGAAAAACAAAGAAAAAGTCTGAAAAACAAATTT